TTTCAATGAATAGATCCAACTAGAGAACATACTCTTAAATGAAATAAATCAGACCTGCATGTGCAAATATCATATTGTCTCCTTAGTGTGAAAACCTGAAAGAGCAAAATGGAATATGAAAGGTAAAATAGACACTGGTAAAAGGGAAGGAACTTATTCAAAAGGAAAGATCTACTCCTCTGAGGAGAAAGATAGACGAGGGAGTGCGGGAAAGAGATATGTCTGTGGATGTAAGCAGGATGGTTTGGACAACTGTGCTGTGCATTTCTGCTGGTTTATGGAAAGCAGTTAATGCTTTAATTTGTTTCATCTCTTTCCAATTTTTTGTACATTTTCTCTTCTTAATTTCTTATACATTTCTTTCTTTTATCTCTTCTTCCAGTTTTACATGCATATATCTGGTAATACGAATAACTGGTTGGAAGACAACACTATGTATTACAACAAATACTGTGAAATACATATTACTTTGTTAAGTGAAAATGTGTACCACTTGTAATTTTTTATGTTTTAATTCTAATTTTGTACTCTCTTTAAAATGTAAAAAAATGAAGCCATTTACCTTCTTCATTTCTATGAGAAAACAATAAAGTCCTGAGGATTGTTAGCATCTAATGATTTTTCATGTTCTTTTACTTTCTCTGCCAAATAACTTTTCAAATGATTCACATTTCTACTAAATGTTTTATGCTTGCCTGGAAGATAATCAATGAGAGTAGGGAATGCATTGTAGGCCTACAGGAAAAAGACAATAATTTATGAAATAAGAAACACATGACGAAGACAAATATAACATGCAGCCCACCTGATTAAAAAGTACATCTAACAATGTAAAGTGGGCAGATATGCTGTTCATCCTGAGGGGAAAATATATATCACAAATACATTGTAATTATCTATATTGGTAAAAAGTTGGGAGGATAGTTATTATGCAAAGATTAAAAATGCTAATGGTTTCTAAGACAAATACAATGCATTTAGTATAAAGGAATTTTTAATCTATTAATTTTCTACCCATTATGCTGTACAACTGTGAAACATAAAAGCTATAAATTTCTACCATTCATATTTTATAGGTGAAAGCATAAGTTAAGTGAGTCTGTTTAACATGATTTAGAGCTCAGAGCTAGGACTGCAGTCTTTACTCCTCTCAACCAGTCTTGGACATGGATGGATGCAGGGCGCTACAGGTCAGCAGGCTCAGAGAGGCCTAAGGCCATTTGTACACAAGGGGACTTAAGAAACTTCTCCAAACTCATGGTGTTATTACTTATTCAGAGTGCAGAACGACATGCCAATTCAATGCAAAGTAGAACTGTGGAGAATTTTCTGGTTCATCTACCATTAAACCAATCATTTTGCCATACTTGTCACTGTGAACTTGTCAAATAGCAGCTGTGTAAAAATCCATACACCATTCAGTGATTCCTGATAACTACAATTGTCCTAAATAGTTTTCCTACTGGAAGAGAACATTCTGTGCCTCAATTTGGAGAGTTCTGACAAGCTGTATAATCTCCAAGCACAGCTTTCTTGGTGTAAGTTTTCAAAAAGTACCATGATGCCCTCTGAATGAAATTGTCATCCTTGGAACAGTGACCAAAGCACTTGAAAGCATCCGCACTTTGTGATTTAATGGGAAAATCAATATTGAATGCCAGCCCTACATCTTAGCATTCATTTTCCTGTGTGTATATGAAAGGACCCAGGTACATTTTGCAGGTACTTTTTACAAAATGCTCCAGGTTGAACAGTGGTGTTGAGATAATCCCTTCACTATGATGTCTATATAGAATTTGAGTTGCCAGAAAGAAGACCCTAGGTTTCCTCAGGAAGAATAGATTTTTTGTTTGTTTGTTTGTCAGAACCAGGGACCGAACTCAGTCCCTTGCACTTGCCAGGGAAGCACTTACTCTACTGCGCCATTTTGAGCCATCTCCCCTTCCCCAGGAAGAATGGATTTTAGACTCACCTGTATCCATCGACTGCTCATAATGCGGGCATTTTCATTCATCCTTTTTGCCAGGGCAAGAAAATCCTGATTATTATAATCAAAACGACTGTGGAAGATAATGGAGCAGATTGCAGGGAGCACATTCCAGAATGAAAGAGGGATCCCAGGGTGAGCCTAAAGAATTGGAAACACCGTTTAAATACTATGAAAATATATTTGCCTTTGTTAATAGGGGTATGATTTTTAGAAAGCTTATGCACTACCTCACCTCCCCATTCCCTAACAGAAAAGTATTCAGCACACTTCAAATTAATATATTAATTTTACCTTAATCCTGAGCTGGCCATTATAATCTAACCAGTTAAATAGAGTTCAGTGTTGTTGCTTCATGTCCACTGCCTTTACTTGCACGATTTAACCTACCTCGATGTTATTTTGCAAAGAAGTTCAAGAATTTTTAAAAACCTAATTCAGAGGAGAATCAAATCTATTTGCAACGACTGTGGAATACAGGCTTGAGCTAACAGTGCTAGAGAAGTGTGACTTAGAAACTTTTTATGCATAGTGAATATGCAAATGACTTATGTATTTAATTAGTAGAGAGGAGTCCAGGAAAACTGTGAGCTCATCTACCTGAAGAAACAAGTGAAATTCGGAGTACATGCCATAGTAAAAAGGTAATGTGAGAACAGGAAATAGGATGAAGCTTTATCTGTTCAAATCAATAAAATGAGAAACTTTTATTTCAAATATAAATCACCTGAAATGCAAAGAAAAACAGGAGTCTGATAAATGTCAAGTTTTTTCTCATTCTAATATTAAAAATAAAGGTATCTTCTTTTCAAGTAATGCCCGTTGTTTCCAAGCAAACTGAAAATTTCATTAATTTAGACAAACTTGATATTATGGATTCTATAATATTACCTGAAGAAACACATATGAAACTCAGTGTATATTTATGCCATATTAAAAACTAATATAAGAACAGTAAGCCCAAGACCAGGTCCAGCAAGTGTGTGGGAGAGTTTCCACGCTCTCCTGTGCACCTTGGACCCCTCCAGACCCAGCACAGGCCTATCATACAGGCTTGGAGTGAAACTCTGCAGCTAAAGTCCCTGCAGAGGGACTAGGGGCCAGAACAACCCAACTAATCAAGGAGAAGAACATCTTGCCAGAGGGGCACAACAGGTTCCTTTCCAAGGGCTTCAGCAGGAAGGAGCTGAGCATAGCAACCAGACCCAAGCCAGGCACAACTGGATGTACTCAAACTTAGTAAATCTGCACCCAAATTTCAGTAGGTGCTTAGGTTATAATAGCACAAAAGCTCTACACCAAAGGTCAGAGGACAGTGCTACATAAAATGAGAAAGAGAAGGAGCAAAATGCAATCTTAGGCCCTGCACCCACCCAGAGAAAGTGCAGAGGACACTAGCACAGAAGAAATTGGGAATCATGCAGCTGAAATTTCTGAATCAGTAGCGTCTGACATAAAGAAACAACTGCAGAAAATTTAGAGGAACTCAGATCAGAAATAACCTCTGGGAAAAAAATCTCTGAATTAATAGGGTCTGAAGTAAAGAAGGAAATGCAGAAACATATAGAGGAAATCAGATCAGAAATAATCTCTGTAGTAAAAGACTTAATAACTGCTCCTCAAGAAGACACTGACAAAAAAAGTATAGGAGATTAGAAAATGATGGATTCCTTCAATGAGCAATACAGGAAAGAAATAGATCACAAGAGGCAGAGTCAGAGATATAGAGGAACTTAAAATCTCAATCACAAGCTTGCAAAACCATTTGAGTGAAAGTAAAGATAGA